ACTCTTTTGATGAGGGCTTTACCGAACTCTATGGCGTACATGACCAATAATTATTACCAACAATTATTATAATTATTTAATATAAAAAAGTCATAAAGTGATAATCCCCATTTCCAATACTTTAGCTGCTACAGGGGTTGAAAAAGTGCAGGTTAAAAAAAGTACTCGGCACTGGTATTCTCCATTCTTTTACAACAATAGTGACCATTTACAACTGTTTCAATAAGGGTGTCAGTGGCGCAGATGCTAAAGTATTGGGATTTGGGGTTATCACTTAAGAAATTGTTAAATAACATGCTCTACAATTAAGCAGCAGAAACCAAATTTTTACATTGCTATTGGTATCCTATTAGTGCATTATCAAATTAATGTAGAAATAAAAGGTAATCTATAAGTATTTGCTTGACAATTANTGTAAAAGCTTTTGGCGAGTGACCAAACTTGTGTGAGGTCTCGCGTTGTCTTGGTGAAACACTACACCTTTCCTGTTGATTAGTTCTGACCTTTTCTGTTATAGTGCATCATTCAGTTTGTCCAGCTGATGACAGTAGACTTCCGAATTAATCGTTGTGTTATCCGGTAAAAGCTAAAAAAAAAAAACGATTCTTTTAAAATCCCACCAAACAGACAGCATCACGGTGGCAAAGTATGGCCTCTAGTGTCAGTTCGGCTTGACAGGACCGACAAAAAGTCCAAGACAATCTTCGAGCTTGGCAAAATCTGCGGGCTCAATGTCAAGGTTGAGCCCAAAAGAGTCAACAAGGACGTTCCTCAATGTCGCCGTTGTCAAAAAATCTTTCACACGGCCAGTTACTGCCGCGCAGCCTGGGTCTGCTCTTTCTGCGGCCGAACCCATGTCTCAGCTGAATGCAAGGCGAAAGACAAAAAAGACTCCACTCCTTCCTGCGCGAACTGCAGAGGCAGTCACCGCGCTACCTATTGCGATTGCCCCAAGATTCCGTGAAAAATCGACGCCTTAATAAAGGGCACCACCATCCCAGCTGCTCCAAAGAGCACTCAAGCAACCGTCCGCTCGCCTGTTGCCTCAGTAAGGACATCTTTACAAATGTCTTACGAAAGGGCCTTAAAAGCATCCCCACAACCCCCCACCCGTAAGCCCAACCCAACCCCAAATACCGCTACAACATCAGGTGCAACTCTGTCACTTCAGGACAAAATTCAAGCTATCGTACAGATAATGGTAGCCAGTTTAGTCACCGTCCTCCAACCACCAATGTCTAACATAAAGTGACTGAACTCGAGCACTTCCTCGAGGAAAAGTCAATCGGTGTTGCATGCATCACCGAAACTTTTTTATGCCAAAAATTCAAGCTTTTTGTCCCAAACTTTACAGCCTACAGAAAGGATTGTGAAAACTCCGGCGGCGGCGGCGTAGCCATCCTAGTTAGGAATTCTATCAAACACAAGTCTATCTCTTTGGCGAGACGAGAACTAAAAACTCGTCTCACCGAATTCCGCAGCGCATCCTTCAATGGTTATATCGCTCAGGCAGAAACACACCCCCCGAAGCACTTGGAAAGTGATCCGTTCCCTTCGTAACAGAGCTCCTCATCTTCCGCCACTAAAACAGAACAGCTCCACCTACTCTTCAGACGAAGAAAAAGCTGCAATCTTCGCAAATTCTTTATGCCTCCAGTGCTCCCCACTACCTAGTACAGTGGACCCTGCCAACTTTCATGGGCGTACCAAAGCCATCTCTCAAAACTTCGTTCATAAATTCCGAATTCAGACACACTACACCCCGTGAGATCTTCCTTACTATTCGTTCTCTGAGAAAGAGAAAAGCCCCTGGCGCTGACGAAATTTCCAACGGAGTCTTCAAAATCCTGCACTGTGCAACATCACAAACGCTCCATGCGGCTCCACCACTTCCCTTTGGTATGGAAAGAAGTCACTGTCATCTGTCTCCCCAAAAAAGGGAAGCCCCTCAGTTCTCCCTCAAGCTACAGGCCCATCAGTCTGCTCAGTTCGTAGACCACGTGGAGTAAAACAACTGTCTCCCTGATTTTCAACACGGTTTCTGCAGGCAACACGACACCGGACACCAACTTCCTCGTGTTACCGAACACATCTCCGATAACTTTAACAAGCGGCGTCACACTTCCATGCTACTTCTTGACGTCCAACAAGCCTTCACCCGAGTCTGACACAAGGCCTTATCTCCAAACTGATCGCCCTTAACATCCCTCACTTTCTAGTTGGGATTAGGCCCTTCCTCACAGACAGAAGCCTTCGGGTCCGCGTTGGCTCTGCTCTATCTGCTAGTAAACCCGTCACAGCTGGTGCCCCACAAGGCTCCAAACTGCTGTTTCCTATTCTGTTCAACCTCTTTCACGAGGACATGCGCTCCCACACTTTCATAATGACTGCTCTGTACGCTGACGACATTGCCATCATAAATTCTTCCAGCGCCATTCTCCATTGTACAGCGAGAATCAATAGGTTTCTGCCCCGGCTCCTTAACTGGTATCGGAAATGGAGACTCTCCATTAACGAGACCAAATCGGAAGGAATGTTCTTCTCTCGTAGGCTCCGAAAACCTCCCTCCATCATTGTCAACAACCGCCCTATCAAATGGAGCAGCTCCGTCACGTACTTAGGCGTCGTCTTCGACAGATGCCTGGTTCGTCAGAAACACACAAATTTTGATTGAAACCGGTTTACCTTCCCTCCCTGAGGCTGCAATCACATTCGCGGCAAATCTCCGGGCCTCAGTGTCAGGCCACGCTAACCCCATCATCTCGGCACTCTCCAACTTCGCACCGAACCCAAACGACGGTTTTAGAAGGCCCTGTCACTTTCTACAATGAGCCGCTCCCTTTCGCCCACTTCTTGCTTCCTAGCTTCGCATTTTAGCGTGAGTGTCCATCCAGCACTTAAGAGGTGAACCACCTACTTCGGTTTCCTCCCCAACACTCCCTTCTGCCCACACTGTTAACCCATTTCCCATCTCAACCCTACCCCCAATCCTCAGCTTTCCACTTTCTTCCCGGGGATGAGCAATCCACAGGGTTTATCTCCCCGCTCGAGGAGGGGTTTTAGTCGGTAAGAATCCGACACTACCTCCCTTCAGGGGGTGTCTTTTGAAGATTTACCCCCTCGAATATAATCTAAACCAAAAAAGAGATCAGTACCGACACTCTCCGACATTCCACCGACCTACGGCAAGGAAGAGGGCGAACAGTCATCTCTACGTCATGACAGACTTCCTACCTCTTGCCTGTAAAAGTATATCACCAGTACTTGGTCTATTTGACTTCGATGAACTTCACACAGATGCAAGCAAACATGGATTAGCCGTTATACCTTAACAATAGAACGCGGATGGACGCTTGCACCTCATCTATAGTCGCCAAACATTAGACACCGAACAGAAATATCATTCACTCGACTAAGAAAATAAATTAGAAAAAGCATTTGCTACCACGGATTACACCATGGTGGCTTGAATCGCAAGAATTTACTTTTGACATTCCAATATCGACCAGGATTACGGATGGCACATATGGAAGTCGCAATCCAACTACCGACGTTGATAGTGAAGAGTTGGAGGTAGTAATGCATATAGAAACAGTAGACTGGGTCCTTTCTGGGCAATTGACTGATGAAAAATTGAAAAAAATACATACAGTACTTTTGAAACCGCCAACAACCGACTACGAAAAGAAAATTTACAAGGATTACTGCTTAAGAAATGGGCGCATATGCCGAATGACAGCTAAGGGTATACTGTGGGTTGTCCCAAGGGGGAAGAGGCAACGCGTCGTAAAAGCTGCACATGACGATCTAGGACATTTTGGAGTTGAACGAACGCTGCATCGGTTATGTGAAAGATGCTGGTTCCCGCCAATGCGGAAATATGTCGAGCAATACATCGCATGCTGTATCCAATGCTTGTATACAAAGAGAAACAGAGAAAAAAAGATTTTTACATCCAATACCTAAAGGAGAAACCCCGTTAAAGACAATTGTGTGGATTATGTGGATGTGGATCATTTGGGCCCTTTCACAAAATTGAAAAGGAATATGCAATACTTGATAGTAGGAGTTGATGCTTTCACGAAATTAACCTTCCTGCGAGCGGCTAAGAGCACAAAAACAAAGTATGTTATCGACTATTTCAAAGATATTTTTGCTACATATGGAGTCCCCGAAGTTGTAGTAGTTGTAGGAAAGTGCTTTCACATCCAAGCGCTTTCAGTCTTCCTGTCGACAAAACAATATTCGGCATATTATTAATGCAGTAACCACTCCACGGTGGAGCGCCTTAACAGTACTATACTAGCAGCCCTTCTTCCTTCAATAGCTGATGAAGAATTATGGGAAATTAATAATGTAACAAACAAAAGTAGTAGTAAAACACCTTCACAACTCATGTTTGGGTTCACTCTACGAACTAGCTCATCGGACACTCTCCTTAGGGATGAAATAGTAATCAGTTCAACTTTGATTGAAAACTACAAGAGAGGAAGCTGCAAATAAAATTAGAACTGGGCAGACTAAGTAAACGACCTATTATGAAAAGAAACGTAAGAAACCTAAGAACTATAAAGAGGGAGATTTGGTTGTTATTCTGAAACAGGTTCCATCAACAGGGGTCAGAAAAAAATTAAGTTCTCCACATAGCGGACCGATGGAAGTCAAATCTGTCCTACCAAATGGTCGCTATATCGTCACGGATATGGTTAATTCATACAGAACTCGGAGGTCATCAAAGTACGAAAAAGCAATAGCTGTGCAATGCGACCTTGGTGTCCATCCGGAGGGGAATCGGATTCCACAGATAGCGAAAGTAGCGAAGTTTTGACTTCTGAAGAGGATGACCAGACCCAACTTTAGAGTGGCCAAATGTATCTCGGGGCGAGATATCTACAGGATGGCCAACTGTAAATGACGCTAAAAGTTTATTCATACAATATTTTTAAATACCTAAATTGTAATTTCTATTCTTATGAACGATTTTCGTAAACTGTTTTCGTTTTTAGATGAAGAAGATAGTAACTATTCTTCTTCTATCAGATGGAGAAAGCTACAACTTTGGAACAACGAAAAAAAAAAGAAAATTAATAACAAAGAAATAATAAGAAAATCTCGAATATCATCCTCCAGTGTATCTGATTTAACTAATTCAACATCACTTACTCTGACATCATGCCCGTCGACGAGTAAAACAAAACAATACGAAGGTGCTTAATTTGGTAGGTATTAAAAAAAATTTGAACAATTTAATCCAAGTTATTAATATTTGTAAAATAATTAATGTTACGGTATTAATTTACAGAAAAACTACATCGTGTGATTGATGATAGATTCCAAAGTATTTTCAGTGAAATATCAGATAAATTTGCTAAACTGAATACTCAGTATAATTCGTTGTCCTTACATTTTCGACAACTGAGTCGAAAAATCATTGAAATTCAACATCAATTGAATCATATAAATACACAGAAATACAAATCGATAGCGAAGGTAAAGATTCTGAAATTAAACTTGTCTTGTAAAGCGATGATCAATTTTGTGCAATTTGACAAAAAACTTGAAAAAGATAACTCATTCCAGAAAGAAAATGTAAGTACTATATTTTTTAAATGTTTTTATAATCATCGATTCTAAATACTAAATACAAAATCATACTTTCAGGCACAAAAATTGTTTCTGAAGATAAACAAACGTATACCCATAACCAGAAATTTTGCCGAATTATTAAGATACTGTATATTTCGTGAAGTAGGTCTCATATTTTCTCCACTGAGAGCTTCGNTCTATTGTCGAACAGTAGATTTAAATATTTTATATTATTGGATCTTTTTTACAGAAAGAACAAGAAGAGAGTAGTTTCTGAATATTCTACTGGACGGCCACTGTGAGACACCCTATATAATCAATGTAATGTCTGCTACTGCAATATCCACTATTCACTAAAAACACAGCACAGAACCACCTTCAAAAATAGCATAATTGAATCAATAAATACAGCAAATAGTGAAGTTGAAGTACGGGAGCACCAGGAGACAGAAGCCTCTGTAAGTCAATTAATTCTTTTCCGATATCTATGTATTGTTTCCTTTTTAGAGTGAATTGTTGTTGTTATTGAAATCCACGATTGACTTTATTAGAATTGTTCTTCAACAGTCAAAAGAAGTATATTGGTGAAACTTATTATAGACAATGAACTAACTGGAAATCCAGATGTTAGATATGGTGTAAAAATGCTAGTATAATGCGGACAAGTATGGAAATATGTTATGGTTTCCTGTTTCACATAGGATTACAAAGGATAAATTTGAACAATTATGCAAGGCAATCGTAAAGGTTTTTCCAAGTGAAGATGCGGCGCCACCACTTGATATGGTTGAATTAGCTAAAGGAACATTAATATTATCAGCATCCGAAGTATTACTTCTTTCTAGATATTTGCCTATTTATATTTATAATTTTGTACCAGAAGGTAACGTTGTGTGGAAATTCTGTTTAACATTAAGAAAAATTTTAAATATTGTTACATGTAAATTTTTGCAAAAGGACACTTCAGACTCTTTCCAGTTTAATTTCCAAGCACAATAAATTATATATGCAGTTAACAAAAGCAAAGCTAGCATTTGAATTCCATATGTTGCCACATTATTTCCGCATTTTTAAAGACCTCTCGATTATTTGTCTAACATGCCATTTGAAGCTAAGCATCAACTTTAAAATTTTGGCTAACAGTAATAACAGCAGAGTAAATATTTATAATTCAATCATCATTATATTTATTAAAATGAAAACAATATTTTTCAATGAACATTATCACAGCCACATTTTGTATATATATTCAAGAGGGTATAGTAAAGTGTACTATACCCTTCAATATTATTTTGTTTTTATTCTGTTTTTTAGAAATATTCATTTTTAATAATTTATTATAATGATTTTTGTATATATATTTCCTGATACTTATGATTTGTATGCATTTACTTTAAAGTTATTTTATGATCTCATTCTTCTGTTTTTTTAGAATAATTGTTAGTAATATATATACTAGGGTCAATTGAAAAGTCCCCGGCCTGACACATAGATGGCGGCACCAGAA